TCGTTAAAACGAGTGAGGTAACTCCTCAGGCTCTCCTCGCGGTCCTGCTTTATACTAAGCAGGTGCGTAACTGGCTTCTGGTGGCGACGCCCTCCTATGAAGTGTGAGACGAATGATCTGCTAAGCTCGGCAAAAGAGGTAATAGAGGCGGGGGAGAGCTTAGCAAACCACTGTCGGGCAGACCCCTTTAATGTGGTTGGGAATGCCCTGCACATGATTTCGTCTGGTACGTTGTGCAATTGCATCAAGGTCTTGTAAGTGTCGAGGTGGTCCAGTGGATCCTTTGTTCCATCAAAGGTCTCCACAGATGGCATTTTGAACTTCTGAGGGAGGGGGTAGTTTGCTACATCAGGTTTGAAAGGCGTATCAATACGCCTTACCAGGTGGTCAACAGTATCGGGTCCCTGTGCCTTCATGGCATTGAAGACATTACCCAATTAATTTCGTACCTCCTTTATCTTTTCGTCCCAATGATTGGGGGCTCCTCTGGAATGATCATGGAAGTGGCTTCCATGCTCCATGCTTTGGTTTTCACCCTCATCCTCCTGGAGATAAGGGTCCTCTCCCTGGGAAGCAAGGGGAGGGGGAGGTGGAGCTCCCTCATGTTGGGCTTCTCGAAGTGGGGTGCCCAATGGGGCGCCCGGGCGTGGAGCAACAGGGCGTGGTGCTCCTTGATGTCCAGGACGTGGAGCTCCCTGGGGTGCTCTATGTTGTGCACCTCCGTGGGGCCCTCCATGTTGTGCATCTCCGTGTGGTGCTCCACGTTGTGCACCTCCGTGTGGTGCTCCACCTTGGTGTCCTCCATGCTGTGCACCTCCGTGTGGTGCTCCTCCTTGTCCAGCAAGTATGAGTTGCAGTAACTGTTGGTTTTGAGCAACCAGTTGCTGCATGGTCTCCAATATTTGTTGGGGATTCGGGGCTAGAGTATCCGGAACAGGGTTGATAGGCGGGGGAGCAACCTCCTCCTCTCGTGGAGGATTGTCTTCATGTTGGTTCATGGATCGAGTAGTGATCGCCATTAGTTAATGGATGTAATGTTCAGGAGTGAGAATTTTGTCGATTTCCCACAGACGACGCCAAACNTCTTCATGTTGGTTCATGGATCGAGTAGTGATCGCCATTAGTTAATGGATGTAATGTTCAGGAGTGAGAATTTTGTCGATTTCCCACAGACAACGCCAAATTNTGCACAAAAATGGTTTTGCACACCACCTGTCAAGTGTAGGTAATAAATGCAGTGAAATCAATGAGAAAATTAAAGAAGACACGATTTATAGTGGTTCGGTCAATTCGACTTACGTCCACTCTTCAATGGCTTCAGTTGTCGGATATTTTATTAATTCAAAGGTATGGAGAATAGATACAAGCTTTGAGAGAATGGAGAATCAAAGAAGCAGTGGTCTCCGGTCGTCGGTCTGTCTCCTATAAGTGTTGGTGGGGCGTGCCATTTATAATAGTCTCCTAACAGATTGGGGCTACTTTATAGCAGCTAAGAGATTATTCTTGTGGAGATCATGACTTATCCTCAAGGCTACTTTATCGCAGCTAAGAGATCATTCTGGTGGAGATCATGACTTATCCTCAAGGCTTCTTTATAGCACTAAAAGATCATTCTGGTGGAGATCACGACTTATCCTCAACGAAAGGAGGAGGTTGGGGAGCTCTTCATGAAACGCGGTCAAAGATTGGACTGTTTCCTTTGATGGTGCAGATAAGCTTCTCATGCTCTCCTCTTGATGACGTGCTAAACACAAAATCTAATCGGTCTTGGACTATNATTCTGGTGGAGATCACGACTTATCCTTAACGGAAGGAGGAGGTTGGGGAGCTCTTCATGAAACGCGGTCAAAGATTGGACTGTTTCCTTTGATGGTGCAGATAAGCTTCTCATACTCTCCTCTTGATGACGTGCTAAACAAAAAGTCTAATCGGTCTTGGACTATCTTGGGCTTGGTGGATTAAAAATGAGGTTGGGCTCCTCAACTGGGGTTGGACTTTAACACATAAATTGGACTATTTGAGCTTAACCCATCAATATTTAAGTAATTTAAAATTATATATTTAAAAAAAAAAAAAAAAAAGGTAGCTTGAATTCTATAAAAAATATAGATGCTAAAATTGTCTGGTTGTTAATTAGGTCATTTATTATAACCTAATAATATATTTGAATGAATTTAAATAAAAAATATTCGAGAAAATTTGAATTCGAATCCGTATACGTAAATGACAAATAATTATCTTGTTATAGTAAAATATATTATGCATTATGAATATTAATTAATCCACANATTGGGGTTGGACTTTAACACATAAATTGGACTATTTGGGCTTAACCCATCAATATTTAAGTAATTTAAAATTATATATTTAAAATAAAAAAAAATAAAAAAGGTAGCTTGAATTCTATAAAAAATATAGATGCTAAAATTGTCTGATCTAGTTGTTAATTAGGTCATTTATTATACCCTAATAATATATTTGAATGAATTTAAATAACAAATATTGGAGAAAATTTGAATCCGACTCCGTATACGTAAATGACAAATAATTATCTTGTTATAGTAAAATATATTATGCATTATGAATATTAATTAATCCATACTAAAAAGAGAGCGTGAACAGTATATGGTAGGGGTACAATGCACTTAAACGATGTCGTTTCTTTACAATTATTAGGCCACAAAAAGTCCGACCTGCCGGATTCGAACCAGCGACCTAAGGATTACAGCATTCTCACGACTACAGTCCTCCGCTCTACCAACTGAGCTAAGGTCGGATTTATTAATAACATTCGAAATATAATAGTCATTAATTATAAATCCTGTCAAATAGAACTAAAATTAAAGGTCCAAACACAAACGAACAAAAGGGTATTAATCAAAACAAATTACTTGGGCTTGTTTCAAATAGGACTCGACTGATATTCTAAACGAATTGAATTTGAACAATTTTTTAGACTCGGTTCAAACTCACAAATTTTTTTTTTATCAAATCACAAAGTTCGATTTATTTATATGAAAAATAATCGAGCTACTTGATCTCAGCTCATTTTTTAAACAATTTGAACTTGAATAATTTTTTAGATTTGTTTAAAAAAATGAGCTCAACCGACTCAGATTTAAGCTCGCAAAATTTGACTTAATTAACGCACCACCATTACTTTTTTAATGACGAAAATACTTCAACTATATATTAGATGTATATTTTGAGGTATTAATCGAAATGAGTTATTCGGACTCTATTCTTACAAGACTCTATTCAAGCTCAACTCGTATTTTAAATGGGTTGAACTTAAATAATTTTTTTAGGATCGTTTAGAATCGATTAAAGAATGCAAAGTTCAACTTATTTATATGTAAAATAATCGAACTACTCAGGTTCGGCTTAAACTTGATTCATTTTCTAGATAAGTCGAGTTTGAACAAATTTTTAGGTTCATTTAAAAAAACGAGTTCAATGAATTCAGACTCAAATTCGTAAAATTCAACTCGATTAACACTCTTATGCATATTTACAAAGTAAACCTTGTATAACTGAGACAAATTACTGATTACAAATATGGATTAAAGTCTAAGTCACCAAGCAGTGATTACCTTGTTGATTTACCTTCGAGATAATGTGCGTTACAAACCACAGCATAAAGCGTTTGCAAAGCAATTTCATTTTTGGTATCAAAAATTTGTGTGGGACCTAGCTAATTGAACACCAAGAGGACTAAGGTAAGAAAAGAAAAAAACCAAACAATTCACAGCACGAATTTTCAAAGATGTTAAGCAGCATGGTGGTAAAACAATACTTGAAAATGCATCTATTGGCATTTGACATGGATACCTTCAGGTTGTTTCATTGTAATTTGGATACCACGAATTTGAGTTACAAAAACAGTTTTTCAACTTGCAGGAATAAGACTACATACATCTAACTCTTCTCAAACTCGATACACGAGAGTTTCGTGCACTGGGTACACGTTTTTACATACAAGATGAGGGACTTAGTAATGTGTAAAATGGAAATATCTCAATTTTGATGGTAGGAGCAACGACTTGTAATGGATCGTGTCATATATAATTCTTGTTATGCCTAAGTCGTAACATATCAAAATTTAATCAATCCTTCTTCACTAGTCCAACTTTTTGTCTCCTGTAGTAGAGTTTTGTGTCAAATATAAGTTTTGTATAGTCAGGTTTATGTAATCCCCTGTTACCAGGAATGGCCAAAACACCTAGTTATGACCCCAACTTGTTAACATTGAACTCGTACTCAATAATTTCATGCAGTGTTTTAACAAGTCGTGTTCAGAATTGTCACCCTTAGTAGCAACTACTAGTAAAGCAGAATTTGAGTCTGGGACATGGGTTGATGCCTGTTTAGGTTTTNAGAGTTTTGTGTCAAATATAAGTTTTGTATAGTCAGGTTTATGTAATCCCCTGTTAACATTGAACTCGTACTCAATAATTTCATGCAGTGTTTTAACGAGTCGTGTTCAGAATTGTCACCCTTAGTAGCAACTACTGGTAAAGCAGAATTTGAGTCTGGGACATGGGTTGATGCCTGTTTAGGTTTTGTAGGCCCCTGTTATCCGGTTTGGGCAGTAAACCTGCTTTATGACCCGAACTTATTAATACTGAACTCATACAGAGTAATTTCATGTAGATTTTTAGCGAGTCGTGCTAAGATTTGTCACCCTTGGCAGCAACAATTATTAAAGCAGAATTTTGAGTCTGTGACATGGGTTGATGCCTGTTTAGGTTGAAGTAACTTGAAATATGTGAAAGGGATTCTCAAACTCAAAGTAGAGTCCCGTATATATAGCCAAAAATAATACAGAGTGACTTAAATATCCCTAGACTACTATCTATACTCCAACAAAGTATAAGAACCAATTTCTTACAGAAGGTTCATCTCTGAAATAGCAACTAATTGTTCAGACTTAACAACCANAGATTTGTCACCCTTGGCAGCAACAATTATTAAAGCAGAATTTTGAGTCTGTGACATGGGTTGATGCCTGTTTAGGTTGAAGTATAAGAACCAATTTCTTACAGAAGGTTCATCTCTGAAATAGCAACTAATTGTTCAGACTTAACAACGAGTATCAGGATTCAAGAACATGCATCCCACATATTAACACACATTCAGAAGTACAAAAACTACATGAGAACTTCAAGAGAGCACATTTTTACAAGATGTTTCTGTAAGGAAAGATTTTGGGTAATATTTGGCACTAATCAACTGCGACTGGCTGCATGTTTTCGGCTTCTTTCCTTAGCTCTTGAAATAGAACAGATGATAGGTACCGCTCTCCAAAACTCGGATGAACAGTCTGTAGATAAACCAAATGACAAATTTTGCAAAGAAATAAGTACTTGAATTCAAGTTTTTCATACATTGAAGACGGTTACAATTCAAAGAGTGCGCATAAAATGAAGAAACTGGAATTAAGTTGTTCATACCACAATGAGTTTGCCTTGGTTTTCTGGCATTCGGGCGAGTCTAAGTGCTGCAACTGTATTAGCTCCTGAGGATATTCCAACCTACATGAACCAGAAGTTTATAACATGATTAAACTTTAAGAAACACGGTTATTAAGTTTAATCATTGGGGATTCAACTCAAATCTGTGAACTGCAGTTGATTCACTAGCACGACAAAAGCATTTGGCTAATCTTCTTTGACAAACAGTTACAAGAAATCTACAGATTGTGATTATGGGATTGCCAGGTATATATTAGAGTCACTTATATTTTTACCATTAGCCCCTCCTTCAAAGCCAATTCCCGAGCCATATTCACTGCTTCCTCACTAGAAACCTGCAACAGAGGACTAGCTTCAGATTATCGGTTGTGATTGCTGGAGTTATATGATTACAGCATATGTTCAATATTTTCCTTTCAAAATCCTTATGCTTACCATAAGAACTTCTTCCATTATATCCATGTCCAATATATCGGGCTTGAACCCAACCCCATTCCCAGTTATATGATGAGGACCTAAAAAATTCAACAATATCAGGGATTAATATCTTCCCTGTAATTCAAACTGGAGATAGGTGAGTTCAAACGTCAATGCTGCAATTATCTATGATTTATGTATTCGTTACTACTCTGCACGGTTGCCAAAATCCATGAACGGGATCAATATAGACACGTAGACCCATGGTTTGTCTATATCAATTGGAAAAGAATCAAGAAAAAAGGAAAGAATCGGAACATAGTTATTTGATTCTTTTTACCTGGTTTGCCACCATTCAGTATATTACTTTCAGTTGGCTCAAGTCCGTATATCTGATAAGACAGTGTAACATCATGAGAACAATCCACAAACATAACAAAGCTAGAATAATTAAGCTAGTACCTTGACATTAGGATTCTGGGATTTGAGATATTGTCCAACACCAGAGACTGTGCCCCCACTGCCGATTCCCATTATAAAGATGTCAACTTTACCATGAGTATCCTCCCATATCTCTGGACCAGTTGTCTCAAAATGCGCCTGTTTTTAAGTGTGGAGGTTCATCATATATGTGCCCATGACACATTAATATCCGAAAAACATGTACCATCTTGTTTAAATCGGTCAAGAAGATTTCAGACAACCCGAGCAGAACACAGATAAAATTCATCAATGGAAACTCACTCTCACAGATTGAAATCCAAAACCATGGCACGATTTGGGTACCTTTGTGTTGGCAGGGTTAGAGAACTGTTGAAGCATGAAAGCATTGGGTGTGGATTCCAAAAGTTCATAAGCCTTCTTAACAGTTCCTCCCATGCCCTTGGTAGGGTCAGTGAGGATTAACTCAGCTCCAAATGCTCTCATGGTCACCCTTCTCTCCAAGCTTGTATAAGAGGGCATGGTCAAGATCATTTTGTACCCTTTCATGGCTGCCATAAATGCCATACTAATCCCCATATTTCCTGATGTAGGCTCAATCAATGTTGTCTACAGTGCCATCATTACAGAATTCATAGAAAACCATATCAACTATCTTTTGAGGTATGAACCCATGAATGTAACGTAAAGCTCAAATGCATGCAATCACTTGTTTATCAAGTGAATCTGTTAAACTTCAATTTTATGTGATCAACGAGACTCAAAACTCCGGATGTACATGTTTACGCCCACCCTCAACCTATTTTCAAGTTTAAAATGTTGTAAAACAGGTTTCTTGCTTACCTGTCCAGGTGTGATTAAACCTTTCTTTTCTGCATCTGTGATCATGGCCAATGCTGGTCTGGTAGCAGAAGCAAACAGTTTATAATAATTGAACTTAATTATGAAGTTTATCTAATAATCAATAAAAAAGACAAAGATTTAATTAAAAAAGAAGTTATGCAATAGAGCGGTGGGAACTGTACAGATGCGGTACTGAAAGTTAAACTCCACCAGGGTCAATTTCAACTCAATTGATAACAGGTTACACCTCAAAAACATCAATCTTGAGTCAATAATGTTCAAATTACGACACCAGGAAATTAAAATCCATCTCAAAAAGTTGGGATCAATCCTTATGGATGTCATTAACCTGTAACTTGGCGTGTTTGTATAAATTGGCGTGTTTGAATCATAACCTCATTTGATTGAGCATAAAGTAGTCTCTTTGTTTTCATACCATAGACTTTTTTTAAAGAGTATTATTAACCACATGAAAATAATACACCATAACATGGTGGAATAAACATAGCACCTGTCTTTGATGCTAGCAGTAGGTTGCATCATTTCTTGTTTGACAGCAACATAAGCACCACAGCCTTCAGTGACTTTATTAAGATAAACAAGGGGAGTTTTACCAATAAGCTGAAATGTGAGAAGAAAATTCAATCAATTAAATTTGTCTAGATGCTATTCTTCCTCAAAGTTCAAACATTGACATAAAAACTACAGATTCGTCGGTGGGTGGGTTTTTTATTGGGTGGGGTGGGGTGGGGGGCAATTTAGTAATAAAGCTTCTGAATATGCCCATTTAGTTGATGCAGTATGACATGACATTTTTAATATGATGGACTAATGACTAATGATGTTTATTTTTTTCCTTTTCAATAATTAGTAACCCTCTTGGGTTATATCTGAATTTTTTTTCTTCTACTTCAATAGGGGTGTCCATTCAAAAGCAAGAAATCCACGTTAAGGTTAGAGTATTCACGATACCTCATGGTCCAACTCCATGAAGTTGTCAAGATTTAAGATTAGGACATTTGAATTTACAACTCGTTCTTATTACCACGTAGGCTACTATTGGGGTTCTTGGGTTATATTTGTTGCGATGGAAACATCCCTACATTTTGACATTGACAAAATTAAAGTCAGATTGTGATACCCTCCGTTATATTTTTACTTGATAATAAACAAGTAGGACTCACTATTTATAAGTGAATTCTCAGTCACTCAAAAATAATAAATGATCTACCATTGACCGAGCTATAGAGAAAGTAAAATAGATCGGATTCAGATCAAAATCTAACCAAATCATAGGTCCAACCTTATGTTTTACTTATTCCTTATCCAGACTTAATTCAGATCTTTCATATGGAAAGATCTTTCAGAGTCCATATGGAAAACCATGGAGCAGGAGCAAAGTTTTTCTCTCTCATTATAATTAATTAAAATTATTCATAATCGATCACAAATGTGATGATTATTTTGAAGTTATTCATAAAACGTTATTATTTTTAAAATGTACAACTTATCTTTTCAAGGTATAATTTTGACACTTTTAAAAGTAGTATTTTTCGATTTGTGATTAATTATAATTTTTTACGTTTTTGAAAGATATTTTAATTAAAAACAATAAAATTCATTAATTTTTTTAATCATTTTAGATCATTGATTTGGGTGTGGAAAAAGTAATTTCAGTGCGTGACAAAAACAAATTCCCATGGGACCCCACAGTGTCCAAAACTTTATCTTAGCAGTCACCAATTTCCTCCACTCCTCATCTTAGCAGCCCTCAAAGGACATGTTTTTTTCCCGAAAACATCATGTCACGGGATGAAGAGTTTAAAATTTAATTTCAAAACAGTCAAAAATATTTTTATTTTTAAATAGATGGAAACGAATTGATCATTTATTCAAAATTCCAATTCTCGAAGGAGTTTCGAAAATGCGTTTTGAGATGTTTTGGTAGGTAATATTTTAAGGTGTTTTGACCAATATTTTAGAAATGAAATTTTAAACTTTTTTTTCTTTTTTTATTGAATTTTCAAAATATTTTTGAAAATTTATTTTCTAATAGGCCGAAATAATACTCCAAAATAAAATTTTGATTCATGCATAAGATCTGAGTTCTCTTATGTGAATTTTAAATAGAAAAAAATTTCATAGCAAAAAAAAATATTTTTAATTATTATACGTAAATTAGCCCAGCCACCAATTAAAAAAGAAAAAAAAACGAAAAGATAACCGAGGGAGAAGGCTACAGCACCCAAAAAACTTTTTGATATGGTACTTTTAAAATTTATAATATTTGTGGGTATTAAAAAAAAAATTTATAACTTTTGAGGTTATTTTATAATTTTTATAGTTTAAATTATAATTTTTGTGGGCCGGTTGGAATCTATCCTAAAAATTTTGGACCGATCCCAAGTAGGCCACAAATTTTGTTAAAAAAAAGGTCAGAAAACTTGTAACAGCGAACCAGTACCACTGCTAGACGGAGAGATCCAGAAGAAGCAATAAGAAAAGGAAATTCATGAAACTGAGCTACAGAAAGAGAAACAGAGTACACACATACATATATATATAATGAGAGAGAGAGAGAGAGAGAGAGGATGTTACTTGAGAGACTTCTTTCTTGATATTAGTTCCAGGAAGATCTTTGGGCAGATCTCTAAGTCTCTGAGCAAAAGATGGAGAATCAACCAAGGGTTCACCAGAGAAAAATCTGTTTTTGATAAGATCACTATTGCTGGGTATGGAGGGTCTTCTCTTGAATAATCTGGTTAAGGCCGCCATTGATGAAGCTTGAGAGAGAGAGAGAGAGAGAGAGAGAGAGCTGAGGCTCTTGGTAAGTATAATTTCACATTAGAGTAACGCCACTGCACTTCAAAAATGATAGAATGTTCTCCATTTTATAGGAGATATTGATGAAGGGTTAGACTACCCTGCCCGCAATCTCACTGTATTCTATATGAATCGTAGGATCTTTACTTCTCAATTTAGGTCATTTATCAATTATCATCTTTATTTCAAATTTTGATCATTTTCAAAACAGAGGGAGTTCCCTACGGTACAAAAAAAAATAAAAAAATCGGTGTGTCGATATTTATTATATTTATGAATAGTTATAATCCGATAAAATATAAAATTCAAGCGTTCAAAAAATCGATTACATTATATTAATTTTTTAAAAATATATTAACTACAAATTAATTAAATATTAAATAATTAAATATATGATAGAAATGAGTGATGTGATATTTTTAAGAAAGAAATATATAAATTATTAAACATATGATATAAATAAGTGATGTGATTTGACGTTTGAGTCTGATAAAAGGATGATGAGTGAAATAAGTGATTGGAGATGATTTTGAGGGGAAAAATATGTCTGAGACAAAATTCAAACACACTCATGTTTTATTATATAAATATTTTTATTACTGGTACAAAAAATAATTACAATAACAGTAGTAAAATCACTCACGAGTAAAATAACTCACAAAAGTAATAATTTTTTTTTTTATAAATAAGAGAGAATTATACTCAGACCGTTTGAAGTTTGTTATTTCACCATTCAGACCCCTTAAACCATGATATTTAAAATATTACACACAAACCACTAAAAGTTTGTACTTGCACCACATTTAAACCCTGTCGTAAATACATCATTTGTTAATAAATTATATCTAGACCCCCTAAAAGTTTGNTTGGGGGGGGGGGGTTTTTTTTTTGGGGGGGGGGGGGGGGGGGGGCAATTTAGTAATAAAGCTTCTGAATATGCCCATTTAGTTGATGCAGTATGACATGACATTTTTAATATGATGGACTAATGACTAATGATGTTTATTTTTTTCCTTTTCAATAATTAGTAACCCTCTTGGGTTATATCTGAATTTTTTTTCTTCTACTTCAATAGGGGTGTCCATTCAAAAGCAAGAAATCCACGTTAAGGTTAGAGTATTCACGATACCTCATGGTCCAACTCCATGAAGTTGTCAAGATTTAAGATTAGGACATTTGAGTTTACAACTCGTTCTTATTACCACGTAGGCTACTATTGGGGTTCTTGGGTTATATTTGTTGCGATGGAAACATCCCTACATTTTGACATTGACAAAATTAAAGTCAGATTGTGATACCCTCCGTTATATTTTTACTTGATAATAAACAAGTAGGACTCACTATTTATAAGTGAATTCTCAGTCACTCAAAAATAATAAATGATCTACCATTGACCGAGCTATAGAGAAAGTAAAATAGATCGGATTCATANTTGTCAAGATTTAAGATTAGGACATTTGAGTTTACAACTCGTTCTTATTACCACGTAGGCTACTATTGGGGTTCTTGGGTTATATTTGTTGCGATGGAAACATCCCTACATTTTGACATTGACAAAATTAAAGTCAGATTGTGATACCCTCCGTTATATTTTTACTTGATAATAAACAAGTAGGACTCACTATTTATAAGTGAATTCTCAGTCACTCAAAAATAATATATGATCTACCATTGACCGAGCTATAGAGAAAGTAAAATAGATCGGATTCATATCAAAATCTAACCAAATCATAGGTCCAACCTTATGTTTTACTTATTCCTTATCCAGACTTAATTCAGATCTTTCATATGGAAAGATCTTTCAGAGTCCATATGGAAAAACATGGAGCAGGAGCAAAGTTTTTCTCTCTAATTTTTCTTTTGATAGAGAAATGAATAAGGCAAAGGTCAGTTTTCCTCTTGACTTTATCCCTAAAATCAAAGAAAAGTGTAAGCAATGAATTGACAAACTATTGGGATGAAAATTGGTACTAATGGGTTAAAGTCTATGGAAAAGACGTTTTCTCGTACCATGCGAAAAAATTACAATTTTTAAAGATATAATAATAANTTCAGATCAAAATCTAACCAAATCATAGGTCCAACCTTATGTTTTACTTATTCCTTATCCAGACTTAATTCAGATCTTTCATATGGAAAGATCTTTCAGAGTCCATATGGAAAACCATGGAGCAGGAGCAAAGTTTTTCTCTCTCATTATAATTAATTAAAATTATTCATAATCGATCACAAATGTGATGATTATTTTGAAGTTATTCATAAAACGTTATTATTTTTAAAATGTACAACTTATCTTTTCAAGGTATAATTTTGACACTTTTAAAAGTAGTATTTTTCGATTTGTGATTAATTATAATTTTTTACGTTTTTGAAAGATATTTTAATTAAAAACAATAAAATTCATTAATTTTTTTAATCATTTTAGATCATTGATTTGGGTGTGGAAAAAGTAATTTCAGTGCGTGACAAAAAAAAAAAAAAATTCCCATGGGACCCCACAGAGTCCAAAACTTTATCTTAGCAGTCACCAATTTCCTCCACTCCTCATCTTAGCAGCCCTCAAAGGACATGTTTTTTTCCCGAAAACATCATGTCACGGGATGAAGAGTTTAAAATTTAATTTCAAAACAGTCAAAAATATTTTTATTTTTAAATAGATGGAAACGAATTGATCATTTATTCAAAATTCCAATTCTCGAAGGAGTTTCGAAAATGCGTTTTGAGATGTTTTGGTAGGTAATATTTTAAGGTGTTTTGACCAATATTTTAGAAATGAAATTTTAAACTTTTTTTTCTTTTTTTATTGAATTTTCAAAATATTATTGAAAATTTATTTTCTAATAGGCCGAAATAATACTCCAAAATAAAATTTTGATTCATGCATAAGATCTGAGTTCTCTTATGTGAATTTTAAATAGAAAAAAATTTCATAGCAAAAAAAAATATTTTTAATTATTATTCGTAAATTAGCCCAGCCACCAATTAAAAAAGAAAAAAAAACGAAAAGATAACCGAGGGAGAAGGCTACAGCACCCAAAAAACTTTTTGATATGGTACTTTTAAAATTTATAATATTTGTGGGTATTAAAAAAAAAATTTATAACTTTTGAGGTTATTTTATAATTTTTATAGTTTAAATTATAATTTTTGTGGGCCGGTTGGAATCTATCCTAAAAATTTTGGACCGATCCCAAGTAGGCCACAAATTTTGTTAAAAAAAAGGTCAGAAAACTTGTAACAGCGAACCAGTACCACTGCTAGACGGAGAGATCCAGAAGAAGCAATAAGAAAAGGAAATTCATGAAACTGAGCTACAGAAAGAGAAACAGAGTACACACATACATACATATATATATATATATAAAGAGAGAGAGAGAGAGAGGATGTTACTTGAGAGACTTCTTTCTTGATATTAGTTCCAGGAAGATCTTTGGGCAGATCTCTAAGTCTCTGAGCAAAAGATGGAGAATCAACCAAGGGTTCACCAGAGAAAAATCTGTTTTTGATAAGATCACTATTGCTGGGTATGGAGGGTCTTCTCTTGAATAATCTGGTTAAGGCCGCCATTGATGAAGCTTGAGAGAGAGAGAGAGAGAGAGAGAGAGAGCTGAGGCTCTTGGTAAGTATAATTTCACATTAGAGTAACGCCACTGCACTTCAAAAATGATAGAATGTTCTCCATTTTATAGGAGATATTGATGAAGGGTTAGACTACCCTGCCCGCAATCTCACTGTATTCTATATGAATCGTAGGATCTTTACTTCTCAATTTAGGTCATTTATCAATTATCATCTTTATTTCAAATTTTGATCATTTTCGTTTACTGATTACAAAACAGAGGGAGTTGCCTGCGGTACAAAAAAAAATAAAAAAATCGGTGTGTCGATATTTATTATATTTATGAATAGTCATAATCCGATAAAATATAAAATTCAAGCGTTCAAAAAATCGATTACATTATATTAATTTTTTAAAAATATATTAACTACAAATTAATCAAATATTAAATGATTAAATATATGATAGAAATGAGTGATGTGATATTTTTAAGAAAGAAATATAAAAATTATTAAACATATGATATAAATAAGTGATGTGATTTGACGTTTGAGTCTGATAAAAGGATGATGAGTGAAATAAGTGATTGGAGATGATTTTGAGGGGAAAAATATGTCTGAGACAAAATTCAAACACACTCATGTTTTATTATATAAATATTTTTATTACTGGTACAAAAAATAATTACAATAACAGTAGTAAAATCACTCACGAGTAAAATAACTCACAAAAGTAATAATTTTTTTTTGTATAAATAAGAGAGAATTATACTCAGACCGTTTGAAGTTTGTTATTTCACCATTCAGACCCCTTAAACCTTGATATTTAAAATATTACACACAAACCACTAAAAGTTTGTACTTGCATCACATTTAAACCCTGTCGTAAATACATCATTTGTTAATAAATTATATCTAGACCCCTTNGTGAGTAATTATTTGATGACCATATGTTTAACCATACATCTATACTGTTAATAAACAGAGAAGATTGGGTTTGAGATTGTCTCCCTTTATTAGTTGTTTTTGGCCGTTAATTCAGAGTAATTTAAGAAATAAAATAACTTTTTGACCGATAATTTTTAACGGCTTTTAATCTTTAACTTTTAGACCATCGATAAAATATTTACTCTCTCTCTCTCTTTCTCTTGTATTACCAATAATTTTTTAATGNGACGATTTGTTGTTGGCTGGGTTTTGGGTTTTGGTTTATGTGGCTGTCGGTGGAGCTATCTGTTGGTTTTCGGTGGGCAATCGGTGATGTTTTTGGCTGGGTTCTATCGGTGAGGAGGCAGTGGGGGTTTTGTGGGTCGCTGGGCAGTCGGTGGGGTGGGCTATAGGAGTTTCGCTGGGCAGTCGGTGGTTTATGGGCAGTCGGTGGACTGAAACATGTTTTGGTTTCAGTCAGTGCTTTATGGGCAGTCGGTGGCTNAAGATAAAATATCAAATATTTTAGATTTTACAACTAAAATTAATGTTCTAT